GGAATCTTGAAATTCTCGGGCAAATGGATGGAACTAGAGTGGGGTAACCCAGTCACAAAAAGACAAACATAGTATGTACTCACTCATATATGGATTTTGGACTTAGAGCATAGGATTTACCAGCCTAACAATCTACCCCATCAGAAGCTAGGAAACAAGGAGAACCCTAAGAGAAGCATACATGGTCCCCCGAAGAAGGGGAAAGGGACAAAAATCTCCTGAGCAAATTAGGAGCATGGGGGGAGGGGAGAGGAAGTTAAGAGAAAGAGAAGGGGAGAGGAGGACATGAGGGAGCAGGAAGATTGAGATGGGGGAAGAATAGAGCAAGAAAAGAGATCCATAATAGAGGGAGCCATTATAGGTTTAAAGGGAAATCTGGCACTAGGGAAATGTCCAGAGATCTATAAGGATGATACTAACTAGCAATCCAAGCAATAGTGGAGAGGCTACCTTAAATGCCTTTGCTGATAATGAGATTGATGACTACCTTATATGCCATCCTAGAGCCTTCATTCAGTAACTGATGGAAGCAGAAGCAGACACCCACAGCTAAACACTGAGCTGAACTCCTGCAATCCAGTTGCAGAGAGGGAGGAGTGAGGAGCAAAGGGGTCAAGACCAGGCTGGAGAAACCCACAGAAACAGCTGACCTGAACAAGGGGGAGCTCATGGGCCCAGGACAGATAGCTGGGAAATCAGCATAGGACCAACTCAGACCCCTTGAATGTGGGTGTCAGTTAGGAGGCCTGGGTAATCTATGGGACCTCTAGTAGTGGATCAGTATTTATCCCTAATACACGAATAGATTTTGGAAGCCCATTCCCCGTATCGGGATACTCTCTCAGCCTAGACACACTGGGGGTGGATGGGTGGGTGCTAGGTCCTGTTCCAAATGATATGACGGACTTTGAAGATCCCCCATGGAAGGCTTCACCCTCCCTGGGGAGCAAAAGGGGGATGGGATAGGGAGTCAGTGGGGCAGGGGAGGAAGAGGAAACTAGGATTGACATGTAAAACAATCTTGTTTCTAATTTAAATTTTCTAAAAAAGGAAAAAAAAAAGATGGCTTCCAGGAAACAGTAGGGCTGAGGTTGCCCTGAAAGAATATATAAAAAGGGGCTCCATTCTTTCTAACCTCCTGGGTATGTGAATGTGGGCAAGGATGGCCCTCACTTCCAGGGCAAAATTAAAACTTAGTCTTTCAAATCCTGGAGGTCAAAGTTGTCCCCACTTCCACAGAGGCCTCAGCAAAAGCAGCCAAGGTCACTTTGTCTTGGATGTAGAGTGGACTCTGGTGTGGGTTCTGCTCCTTGGGGCATTAGAAGCAATGGGAAGAATTCCATGAGGTCACAAGGTGAGGCTAGACTCACCCCTCATACACAGAACAAGACTGAAGCCATTCTGTGGAGTCCTCTGCTCTCCTCCCTGACTCCACCCTCCTCTCCCTTCTTTCTTTTACTCCTCTTTGGTTTGTCTCTGTTTTTTTCCTTTCTTTTTTAAAGAAGGAGTTGGGGGTCTTGCACTTGGGTATTCCTTATCTCAAGGCTCTCCCATGAATGAGTCTGGGGGTGGGGGACATGACACATCATCCCAGCTACAGATCCACCACTGATTCCTTCTGTGCAAGTCTTCTGAGCCTGGAGTCTGGCAAGGGCCAATTATGGTCCTGAGACTGCTTGGTCCTCCCTCTACAAACAATCCTGGCACTGGCATAGGGTGTTGCCCTCGGAGGATGGGAGGGCAAAAGTCCTTTATTCCTAGGCTCTTTGTCCCATAAGCAAACCCAAAATCACAAAGAGGAACTCAACCTGTGGTTGAAGCTGTGAGTGCCAGGAAAAAGGGTCTTAGGAGGAGTTCTCTGCAATTGCGTTTTCTAGACATGGAGAAATCTCTCTCCATGAACTACAGAAGATGCGTTTTAAACATCAATGTTTAAATACAGTGAACAACCTGAAATTTTTAAAAAAATCCCAGAAACTGAGAGAAGCAAACACAAGTGTAGAATAAAGGAAGGATATAAGACAAAGAAAATGGAGAAACGGTGAGCTGCCAGGGAAGACTAGAGCCACAAGAGGAGGAGGGAAGAATTCTGCGGAAATGGCAGAAATGTATGGATAGGATGAGTTCAGGGAAAGCAAGCAGCAAAGAAGGAGAGCCTGGAGATGCCCTTCTCGGTCATAAAGGAGCCCAGGGCCACCAGTTACCGTCTTAAACCAGTGTGGGAGCACTGGAGCTCCTGGAGGCATAAATGCCATCCCTTTGGGGTGAGCGGCTGGAGATGAGGAGCTGAAGTGGTGATCGGGATGGGCTTCAGAAGGCCTTGGAGTTCGGATTGAGAGATGGCATGACTGAGGCCACAACAGCAACCAGACCAGGCTTAGAGAAACTTCCAGTGAAGAAGTTATAGGGACTGGGAGTTGACAGGCTCACTTGTTCTTAGGCGTTCATAGTATTTATCTCTTTCAGGACCCACAATTTTGAACAGCAGCAAATGGGAATCTCTTCCTTTTGGGGAGGGGGTGTCTCGAGACAGGGTTTCTCTGTGGCTTTGGAGGCTGTCTTACTAGGTCTTGTAGACCGCACTGGTCTCGAACTCACAGAGATCCACCTGCCTCTGCCTCCCAAGTGCTGGGATTAAAGTGTGCGCCACTGCCACCTGCCTTGGGAATCTCTTTCTGTGCTATGCAAAATGCTTTGGCAAAAGTCTGCTGCCAGACAAAACCCTGAGGATAAATGAGGTCATGTAGGGAAGTCAGGCACAGGCTGCCAAAGAGTATGAGGATTTGAGAACTGAGTTGGAGGCACTACGTACAGTCTTTGCTCTAAGACAGATTGCCAAATTTCACCAGATTACATACAGTCTGCCTTTCTGGGATGGGCCAAATCCCTGCATCCATGTGCAATGTTCACATTTCCGCAATGTCCTGTGTTACTTGCTTAGTATTGTTGTCATTTAATTTCTGAAATAGGATCTCAGGATCCCAGTAGCCCACATTGGCCTCAATCCTGCCTCAACCTCTGGAGTGCTGGGATTTCAGGTACATGCTACCATGCCTTGCTCTTTATAAACTAACATTTTTAAGTAACTCTCATAGAAATAATAGGTCCAGCTTGACTCGTTGTGATTTTGCTGAATTTATATTGTGTGTGCACCACAATACTAGCCCACGGGGACCAAGACCATACCTGGAGGGAGCTGGTTCTCGCCTTCTACTGTGTGGATTCCATGAACTAAATTCAGGCTGCTAGGCTTTTCATCTGAGGCCTTTCCCTGCTGAGTCCTCTCACCAGCCGAGTTACCGTGTTTTCATCTCGCTTGTTTTCTTTATGTGTTGTTGCTGTTATTGTTGTTGAGGCAGGCTTCACCAAGTACCTCTGGCTGGTCTAGAACTCACTATATAGATCAGGCTGGCTTCGCTTCGACCTCCCAAGTGCTGGGAATAAAGGCATGCCCCACCCAGTCATTGTGTTTTTAAAAATGCTTTATCGGAGATACTCTTGAACTTCCAGAAGAGTTTTGAAGATAGTATGGAGAATTTCCACACATCCTTTATCTACCGTGTGTTAGAACCTCACATAAATCCACTCTAAACTCCCGTTAACAGTATCACATCAAGGTTAATTAAGTGTTCTGTGGTTATGTAAGGTCCCTTATTAAATTTTAATTGACTTATTTTTATAGTTAAATTTGTTTAAAGGAAAGATGTATGTTACTTTGGTCCTGGGAAATGTGTGTCACCGCAAAGAGAGGCCGAACACAAAACAAACACTGGAAATGAAACAGTGATTGCTCAACGCTCATGAATTCCAATACTGCCTTTGCTGGAGAGCTGGCATCCATTTGATGAGGGAACCTTATAAAAAGCAGTGGTAATTTAGTTAATACAAAGATTCTTCAAACAGGAACTTTCTACATGAGCGGCTGAGGAGCGGAGAATGGACTGACATGGAGGCAGCCGCGCCCGCCTCAAGTGTCACACTCAGGTTCAACGGTTTTCTGTGGGTATGGAATTTCCCAGCTAGGTGTGGCGGCACAAACATGTAATTCCCACACTTGGGGTACTAACGCAGGAAGATTGTGGGTTCTGGGCCAGTGTGAGCTACGGAGCATGGCACTGTCTCAGAAAGCTACACTCACTAAAGGCCATGGACACTATCTAGTATTAGTGGAACCTGGTTGAATGCTGTTGGCTATCCCATAGAACACATGGCTCAGGGCTCACCTGGGGTTTGCAACATTGGGCTTCAGGAGGGAGAAAAAAAAGATGAAATTGAGCTGAGAGGAGGGAAAATGGAAAAACAAAGGGAAGGAGACATCCACTGAGCTGGCCACGAGAAACCCAGCCATTCGTTTGGTCATGTGGGCTATCTCCAGGGATCTAGAGAACTCCGTGTGAAGAAGGAAAGATGGGGCACTTACAGTGTTTTCCTGTCTCTTCTCAGCCAGTGGAGTTTGGATTTATTGCTCCACACTTCTGGTTTGTGCTATCCACAGATCCAGTTTGGTTAGGGATGGAGATGGGATCAAGGCAATGGAACTCAGGCTGAAATGGCTTTTCCTGGTCAAGAGAGCTGAAGGGTGTCCTAGTTAGGAGATGTGGTGATGGAGGTGGTGTGGTGATGGTGACTGTGGGGGGGGGCTGTGATGGTGGTGGTGTGGTGTGGTGGTTTGGTGGTGGTACCTCTACTTCCTTCTCTGCTGAGTGGCAGGCTGAAATTACCAATGCGGCAGAGCCTGTGGCATGCTGCAGCTCTGTGGGCTCAGCTGCTCTCTGTGTGAGACTAGGGCAGCTCATGCTGGAGGAATGCGGTTCCCTTATGTAGACAGGATCCAACAAACCCAACAGGATGAATGAGGCTGTGCCCGTGGTGGTGTCAATGGAGGTTTAGAGCATGGAAAATTGATATGGCAATCAGGAGCCACAAGAAATGAGGGGCCAGAGAATAAGGTTTATGTATGTGGCAGATTGAAACTCAAATCAGAAGGGAAATACACTCACCCTTCCAGTTTACTGTAGGCTCAGAATCAAAGAGAATTTCAAAGCTGGAAGGAGCTGTCAACATCATCTCCTCTAGCCTCTTCGTTTTTATAGTAGGGAAATTGAGTCCTGGAAAAGCAAACACCTGTGCTTGCAACGGAGGCAAAGCTAAGACTAGAACCCAGCTCTACCCAGAGTCAGGTGTACTGGCTATTCCGTTTCTAGCAGCCCCAGGCTCACAGGCCTCGTTCACCCCTCGCTGAAATGATGGGGCAGCCATCAGAATTATAGCTCAAGCTTATTGGTTTGTGTTAATGTGCTCAATGTGGATGAAACACTGACGATTCACAGCACTGAAGCAAGGAACGGAAGCAACAAACTTGTGTTTGCTCCGTTTCTAGCATTCCATCTTGACAAAAATATCCCCCAACACTATGCATTGGTTCAAATGATACCTTTTAAATATTATACATATGTTATATAACATGCTTTAGATGTTATATATTCTACATATCCCTGTGTTAGAACATACACATACACACACACACACACACACACCATCCAGCTTTTAAAATGTCATAATGTTCTTGGTCAGAGGCCATTGTATTTCACTTACCTTGATGGCATTGGAAAAAAATCACTCTTTAGGCAACTTGGCATTACCCTGGCAGGTTCAGGATGCTTTTATTGTTTTGTTTTGTTTCCCATTTCTTAAATGACATTTTGAAATATGCATTTATGTTTCTTTTGTGAAATGCTCTTTTGTGAAAATGAAACTATGTTTGCATAACAACTAAAATCTTTGCTTTAAAATGCTTGGGGTGTTGCTGGGAACTTTCATCTCTGAGGGTGGGGAATGAACTTGTTAGGTAAGTCTGAGCTGAACTGGGGAGCTGACTCAAGGGGGGGGCTCATAGAGATGGGGTAAGAGAAGGTTTAAAGTGCTTCAAATGCAAGCAGGCTTAACAACAGAGTGGAGATCTGCTTGGGTACCACTGCCGGTGTGGAACTTCTTATTTTGATGTGTCATGTAAAGTGCATTTTCTTAGACACTAGGATAGCTAAACACCAGCTGATGTCCTCTCTAACCTACAAATTTTCCAGGTGGAAATTTGGGCCAGTCATGATTTTCCAGCCTTGACAATAACTTTGGGTCAGAAATGAATTATTGAGGAGTCATCCACTAGGAAATTTTTCCGCTGGAAACATCTGTAGTCAAATAGACCATTACATCACCTTACAAAGCCACAGCAGAGCTTTACCGGTGGGATCTGTCAATTGCCAGCTTTCTCTCCTTTGTAGTGAAGAGCTAGACTGATCTCCAAAGGTTCATGCTTCCTTCCATGGCTTGTAGTGTTAGTGAGAAACAATCGTCCTGTTGGAGGTTATAGTTCCCAGTCTCCTCGACAAGTCCCTGGGACTGAGTTCCAGCCAATGGAATGTGAGCAGAAATACATTCATCCATCTAAAAAGGCCAAGGGAAACATTACACACCTCCTAGGGATGTGAGACCCACAGAATGGGTATGGCAAGTTCTGTGTTAACACATAGAGCTTTAATGGAAAGAACTTGAATTCCAGAGTCCTTGAAAATGAACCTCTTAATTAGAGCCAACCAAAGTGGACTATTATGTAAGTGAGAAATAAATGTTCCCCATGTTAAGCCAATAAGGAGAACTGGGCAGATTATCTGTTACTACAGCTGACAGTCCCTTAATTAAGATCACTTTTGAACAGCTCAGTGACTTCCTTTTGGGAAATTACCTCTCCCATTATGTGTCATCTATGTTGGAGAGCAAATCATATGCTCTCTTCCCAACATGAGAAGCACAGACCCTGTTTCATTGGCCTCTTCCCCTCCTCCTCCCATCGCTCCCAGGGAGTAAGCACGTGATGTGGGCTGGAGCAAGCAGGCTGTCTGTCCTGGGGGAGAAAAACACAAGAAAAGGGATCAGAGGAATCAGAGGAAGGCGACAACAGCATTCTGCCCACTGCTCTGCTACAGGACACTTGCTAAATTCCTACATTCTAGCCCTCCACAGCCATCCTGGTTCCTGCCCATTTTAGCACAAATCCAAACACTCTTCAATTCTGCAAACTTCTGAGATCCTGCCGGTAAATTTCCCCTTCTTAAGTCGGTAGAGCTAGGCTTACTTGACTGTGACCAGAAAATCCTAATACTGGCGTCTTGAAGGAACAAACCGAAAATAAAATTGGCAACAGTCCGTGTTCCGATAGATACTGTAAAGACTGTGTTTGGTAAATAACACTGAAAGCAAATAGGCATCTCTTAAAATATAAATTCTCTGTACCTACATGTCTCCTTGAACTCTGCAGGGACGTGGGGGTGGGAGTGTGAAAGGATTAGCCATGGTTTTCTATAAGCTGCAATAAACATGAAGACACTGAAGTCAAGGCAGGGGAGTATGATTGATTTATTACATTATAGTTCATTAAAAGTGTTCCACTGCCTTTTTAAAAACCATCCAGTCATTAAAAAATCTTTGCGGACACAGTTTCCAACATCGTTATAAGGGATTCTTGACAGCTCTTCATTTTTAATGGCACCGTTATAAACAGGCTCCATAATGGCCCTGCCTGGTAGGAGGCTGGTTTAGAGGCCAATGACTGAAGTAGCCCAGGCTGCTGCTGTGGCCTGTGCAGAGACAACGGAGCCTGAAGTTAATTTGTGTGGAGTAATTGAAAACCCTGGATTTTGCAGTATGATGTTAAAGGTACTTTCCGGAAGGGTCTCAAATTCCAACACAGGGCTCTCAGATCTGTTTTCTCTTGTAAACCCAAAAGATGAGAACTAACTGAAGAGTCGCTGTCCTCAGCCATCTAAGGGAGGAAATGGTGCTAATGTGCAATTCAAATTGGTAAGACGGTGCCTCGGGCCAGCGGAAGGGAAATGCCAGCTTTCTCATTTGTAGCAAATGGATATGAGCTCTCAGCTGGTTTGGCTAGGGTCCCCAAGAGATCAGGCAGCAGGGGAAAAGATACAGGAGTGTGAGCGGGCTGCATTTGGAGCAGTGCTGCTGCTAACAGCCCCTCTGCTCGCCACAGGGAAAGTAGAGAAATGCAGCAGCAGTCTCAGTCATGGGAAATGCCAGCTGTACCCTTGAAATAAATGTTTAGTGTGACTGTTCACATCTAGTTCCACTCCACAAACATCTCCCTGGCGCTTACTAGGTTGACACCAGAAAGCTGGACTTTGCTGGATGTAGGGATGAATAAGACAGTAGGTGGACCACTGGAATCAGTGTGGCTGGTTGTGAGCACAGGGAGATGGGGACAAGTCTTGGAACAAAAGTGTGCAGGGGAATAGAAAGCACACTTAGCATTTTACCTGCCTAGCACCTCCCCTTTTGAGAAAAGAACTCTATTTCTCTCTAGACAAACTGCGTTTCGGTTCCAATTAGCGTCCCTCTTCTACCCCCACTTTGTGACTTGGCTCCATCGAGGCACACATGCAACCAGTCCTGAGGAGCTAGAGCATTCCACTTTCCCCCCCTGGTCCTTAACGGTGGACACTTCAGCCAAGACAGGACAATGAATGACAACTTTGAACTTCACTCAGAACTCCCGAGAAAATGATGCTGGGTTTCTCTGGGATTGCTCAGCCAATGGATGCGAACCTGGAACCAGCAGCCACAGCAGCAGCCCAATGCCTTTCCCTAAAAGGTGTCTCCTAGTGAGTAATGATGGGTGCAGGGGAGCAGGGGTGAGAGCTACCTGATAGCAGAGTCAACCCATCTCCATCTATCTCTCTGCAGCCTTTACCCTGGATATTTCAGAAAAGCGAGTCACTTGCCACCAGGGACATCAGGTACCTCTGGGAAAGTTCACATTTCCTCCCTGTGCTCTATTGTGAGCTAAGCCATCGAAGCAGTGCCGTGGTCATCCTGTGCTTCCCGTCTGCCGCCTGACTCCATACTGGCCACTTAGCCCTCTTGCTCTCAGATTCACCTCCTTCCCTTGCCCTGCTATCTGGGTCTCAAAGTACTGACCTCTCTGCAAGAGATGGTGCCCACACTCCATAGCAGCAGGCTCTGGAAAAGAGTCTTGGGATGGCCAGTGGGAGGCTGGGCAGTGAGAGAAAGGAGAAGCTAAGGCATTTGTGCATGTGCACGCTTCTCTCCCTTGGCTCCTACCTTCTACGGTAGCTGCCCTGCCTCCGGCTTCTGGCTCGCCACCATGGCTCCATACCCTGCCGGGTGGCCCTGGTTCTTGAACTTCTCTTTTTTTTTGTATTCTTGCTCTCTTTCTCTGTGTCAGTCTCCCTCTCCCCTACTATTTCTTTCTCTTCTCTCCTCCCTCTCCCTTCTTCCTCTTTTATCCCCCCAGTTGCTGGTTCAAGGCTGCATTGCCATGCTCTCTTCATCCTTAGCACTTTTCCAGCATTTTCCAAAGTGGATCTCTACATCAGTGTCCCTCTGTTGACTAGCTGGCATGGGTTCTCTTCCAATTACCCGCTACCATGAATCACATCACCAGGTGGCTTTAAACATTTTAATATCTTTCATGGGTTCTCTGGGTTAGAATGGCAAAGTCAGAGATCACTTACCATTAAGAAGTACCCTAAAATTAACTGCAAATTAGCATATTAAATTCTAGCCTGCTAATGTCAATTGCTAAGACCAAACTTCTAACCTCTCTGTGTTGAAAACGGAATTGCCAACTCTAAGGCACTAAACAAAGATAATCGGAAGCACAGAAAGGGAATTTCTCAGGGAGGAAAGCAAACGAGGCATTTTAAAAGGCTTTAGCTGTGTGCTATGGAACCCTATCACTCCTGCTGCCTAAATGGGCTGGTGAACCTCAGAGGTGCCTATTCCAGATGCGGAGGAGTACTTTGGATCAGGACAAGTTTACTTGCAGAGACCAAGAGACAAATTAAGCTAGCTGAAACTAAAGGGCTTCGTGTTGATAAGCATGGCCCGTGTGCGCACCCACCCACCATACCTTTTCTCCTGAAGAATCTCTCTGCCCTGCCTTGGTCTTGAACTCTTAATCCTCCCATCTAAATGACTGGCTGGGTCTAAGGATAGCTGCCACAGATGCAATGATTTAATCCTGAATGTGGGAAAATAAACTGCTTGGCCTGGCTTGGATGAAGCATTCAGGTCTGACTCAGGCAGCCACAACTGAGCAGGCGTACAAACACTGCAAGATAAGGGGGAGGAGCCTTGGGAAGAGTTCTGAGTGACCTGGGAGCCACAGTAAATCAGGAAACCAGCTCTATCCTGGCTTTGAAACCACTGACAAGACCATGAGTGATCAAGGCCCCAAGCAGCTGTGTGGGTTTCTGGAGCAGCTTTGGGGAAACTGCAGGTGTCTCCAGGCTAGCCGGACCTGGCCTCAGCTGCAGATGGAGTCGAGTTTTCGCAAACGGTTGCCCATTTCTCCATAAGTACCCTAATGTCAGTGCTCTCGTCTGCAACGGATTTGCACTCAGTCTTAGTGTGTGAGGGTTTTTTTATTTTTATTTTTGTTTGGTCCTTTTTCCCTGGACACCGGGTTGTTATTATTTTCTCAATTTCCTAAATTCCATGGAGCAAAAAGTATCAAAGACGCTGGGTCCTTCACTGGCTATTCAGGCTTTCTGTTTTAGCCTCACAGGCTGAGATGCCTGGGGAGAATTAATCAGGGTGATCTTCACTAACCCTTGTCTCTGCTTTTAATGACAGCAAAGACAGTAACAGCCCAGCCCAATGCCTTCTCCTGAGTCATAAGTTCTTGTTTTTGTCACACTATTTGTCCCTTCCATAGCAACATGCCATTACATCATCATCCTTCTCCTTGATTACATAGGACTTTGATCCCAATCCTGTGACCCAAACACAATCCATCCAGGAACCCAGATCAGGGGCTGACAACAGGTCTCAGCTTACCTGACAATGCTGATCTAAGCTCAAGAAGCATGGAGCCTTGTGTTAAATAAAATTCTAAGGTTGAGTCAGGAAGATGTCATCCAGACAAAGGCAGAATGTTCCAAAGAGGTGTTCCAAAGAGGTGCCCACATGTGCCACACCCTCTCTTCCAGTGGAATTACCTTGTGCTGATAAGAACCTTCTGTTGTTTTGAAGCATGAGGACAGAGCTGACCCAACAGGTATCCAAATCTGTGAAGTATGGCCTGCAGTCTCCTGTAGTGTTTCCCGGGATGTCGTGCTTACTTATGATTTTGTGTGGATGGTGACTTGAGTCTCTCCAGCTGAAGGGGGGGTTGTGGCACATGGAGGGGACATGACTGAACCTTCACACTATCCACCCGAGAGGGATGTGAGCACAAGTGTTGTCTTCCCTTCAAGAGGAGCTGGACAGTTCCCAGGAAAGGCTTCTCATTGGCCCATTGGGTTGAGGGCCTATCACTTACCCATAGTGACCAGGATGGAGAATGGTGCAAGAATCCAAACAGTCCCTCTTTGCTGGTTTCTGCCATCAAAAAGGACAGTGACCTCTATAGAAATTGTTATAAATCAGGATCCCATCCTCCAAATCTTCCACAGAAACATATTTACTCTCAAAAGGGAAGCAAATCACATCCACAGATAAATGCAGTTCTTCACATGAAGTCTGAGAGAACCACTAGATCTTGAGTTCTTTCCTGACCCCAAGAATTAGCCTCTCTACACAAATAGGAAATATTTATTTCCTATTTCAAACACGTCTGTGCATGACCTTAGTGTCTTGTGCCCAAGGGGTCAGAATAGGGGAATGGGAAACCCTGGAACGGGAGATTCAGAAGTTTATTAACTGCCATGTGGGGCCTGGGAATTGAACCCAGGTCCTCTACAAAATGCTTTCAGTCACTGAGCCATCTCTCCAGCCTAATACACAATTTGAATGTTAGTGGAATAATTTCTAGTGGCTGATCTTTGCAGAGACACAGAACATACTTGCAGCATCTCAAATCACATCTAGCTCCATTCTCCCCTAGTGTGGCCACTTGAGGCCCATCTCAAATGCTCATGCCATGTCCTCTCTTCTCTGCTCACCATACTCTCTGCTCCTATCCCTGTCAGGGAGATAGGAGACCATTTATATGCAGACAGAGCTGGGAGGTGGGAAACTATATGTTATCAACCAACTTTGAGCATCAAGAGAAAGGTAAAAACAATGGCACTGAATTGCAGATTGTCAAGCTGAAGATGCAGTTCTGTTCTGAAAAGGGGAGGAAATCTTTTCTTTAAAATCCATGTAGAGAAACATTTCAAATGGAATAAACATCTATTTGAAAGCTGCCCTAGAACAAATTGGAAGTCAGTACAATGTCCAGGCAATTCACTTGTTTAAGCCTGGGAGACTACACACATACATTCTCTCTCTCTCTCTCTCTCTCTCTCTCTCTCTCTCTCTCTCTCTCTCTCTCTCTCTCTCTCTCTCTCTCTCCATTCTTTATGCATACATATTTACACACAATATACATAAGGAATGACCTTCTTCTACTCCACCACTCTGCTGCCAGCAGTGGTAACATTTACTGGAGATTTTATTACAAAAGCCACAAAATGAAATTCTAATCAATAACAGTTTCCAGGATGGTGAGGGGAAAAATAGGGAATTGAATACATTCATAGGTAAAAGATGCTATTATCTCAGTTCAGTAACTATGAAAGAGAAATAGATGAAAAAATCCGGGTTTTATATTAAAACCCAGCACAGCTGTAGAGTTACATAATAAAGCATTGCCTGTATCCATGGAAATGAGAGTAATTGATGCACCACGAGTTATTTTTATAAACCCAAACAAAAAAATTCAATCAGAAATGTCTCTCCCCATTTTGGGGGCATTGTATATTTTGTATCTGTACATAATGCTCACATTTAGAGTCTGAATGCACTCTCTATTGATCAGCCTTGCTGAATAGGACGCGCTGCCTTCCCTGAATATTCAGGATTAGAATCATGCGGCCTAGTTCCCACCTCTTCTCGCCAGACTTCCTCTGAATACATTACACAGTGCTTTAAAATCCAGGCAGTGCTGACTCGAGGGGTGTGGGGAGGAGGGGGGTGCAGTAAAGGAGCCAGGTTCCTGGTTTCAGAGGTGTCAGAGGGGCCAAATTTGAAGATAGGAGCTCTTTGGAAGGCACGGCCTTGAATTCCACCACCACTCCCAATGCCATCAACCACATTTCCTCAGCTCAAACGGTATTTACTTAGTGCCTAGCACAGAGCTGAGCAAGCAGCAGGCCTTTCAAAAACAACCAGGGCACAAGGCACATGGATCACCCCAGTTTGCTTGGCAAAGAACGGCTGAAGACACCTATTACAGTCGCATTCCAGGGCCACATTCCAACCCTGTATTGGCTCTGCAGAGGACACCCATAGGAATCTGTACAATGAATGCATTTCTTCAAAAGAGGTCTTGCCAGTAAGATCTGGGGCAAAGGTATGTGATCTGGGCAGACAGACAGGGTTCTGGACTCGTGTCCCCTTCTCTTTGTTTGGTATCAGCACTCTCTCCTTTGAAATTCTTAATAATTTTTTAACAAAGGACCTTTTGTTTTCGTTTTTTGCACTGAGTACAAACTTTGTATTGATAGATGATCCTGCACTATGACAGTTAAAAGCATACAGTTAGCAAATAGACAGGTAAAAATTCCACCTTTGTGAATTAACTGGTTAGAAGATCTTAGCAAGTTAAAGCCCTCAGTCTCTGTGTACTCATCTATGAAAGGAAGATAATAGCAATATTGACACTGTGGGTTGCTATGAAAATTACATGGCAGAATATTTGTAATGTGCTCATGGTTTAAAGAAAAGCAAAGCCTTGCTCAGTGAATACCATTAACATTCAAGCTGAGCTGAGTAAAAGAGAGGTCTGAAGAGAAAAGGGGTCACACCCGAAAGCTGGAGACCACTAACTAGCTTCTTGCCATCCCAACCCTGAGTGAACCTGCAAATTGCTTTTAACCAAACAACCATATTGCAGATAGGTCTTGGAAGCCACTCCAACAAGCTCTTACCTCCAACATCGTAACAGCTTCATTCTATAAACTGCTCAGTGACAGGCTGTGCCGGGGGCAAGCTGCCAACATGAAGTTCCCAACACTGTTACTTCAGGATCCTCTGGCCACAACAAG